CTTAGTGTAATTATTATTTTTGTTCTTGTATACTCTCCAAAATGCTATTGCAATTTTATGTTCCTAAGACACCTGTGATGAATGATAAAAAATAACGTAATTCCTATGAATGTTCAAATATCCTTCTCAGAAATAATAGGCTTTTTGTTGTTATCACGGTGGGTAGTCAGTACTCAAATTTCTCGGAGGGGGAAATGTCTTCATAACTTGTTTGATTTGCTGAATTGAAAAACGACTGGTTTTTGTGAGTTTCCTTCATGTACTAAGGATGTGTAGATGAGTTACTGCCATTTCCTTTTCCTTATACTTACAGCAAAATCATACACTGCAAATTGTAAACCAATAAATTCAGTTATAAGATGTCATCCTTTTGCTAAACTCTACAATGGCTTTAGAGGAGATTGTTACGCTATGCTGGATTAAACAGTTTATTCAGGGCTAATACAGCTTTTACCCCATGACTTCCCTCAGAAGTACTAGAGCGTCATATGTACCCTCTTGGGTAAAACATGGCTAAAAGCCAATTACTTCAACTTAAATGTTTCATATGAATGCCCCGTAGAGGGATTGTTGGCAATTCATTTCAATTCACCATGCCCTGCTTTCAAAGGTAGAAAATAGATTGGCAGCATGTTTGAGTTCTGGCGTAAGCAATGGAAATGTTTCAGAGCTTGGAAAGTTATTTTAAAAAAGCATTTCTTTACTGTTGGCTTTAAATTAGTGCCTGCAGAAGCTCTAAGCCCCGAATGCTACAAGCCACTGATTCATGGGTAAAAATACACTCTTCTCATTCACGTCATCTGAACACAGCATAAAGCAAAGAATTAAAATATTCATAGTTTAAAATTTAATTGTGTTTTTATGTGGAGTGCTAGCTGCCCTGGGTTCTTAGGAGGAAGTGGAGGATATATCTGACTGACTGACTGACTGAATGATACAAATGATAATAGTGGATGGAAGCCATCTACTTACTGTATGCTCACTGGCGTAACTCCAACAGTGTAAATGCCAATGGCAAATTGCTACTAGTTACAAAGCTGGAGCTTGTATTTCTCTCAGGCACCAGTCATGTGATCTGGTATGCACCAAGAAGTACAAGTTTTGACTTTGTAGATGGTGGTAATTCTCTGCTGAAATTTATGTTATTGGGTTGATGCAGACATAAGTAACAGGATTCCAGCTGGAAAACTGTGAAAGTAATTTTAAAATTACAGATATGCTGCAAAAACAGTGACACTACACTTCAATAGGTAATGGTCATAGTCCAGTATTCTGTTAAGATCTGGCAGAACATTACCCTTAACTCACTGAGCTTCTATGCAATCTTTAGCTTACCATAGTGCAAGTGGAGATCACGGGAGTCCAAACAATGGAGCTGCTGCTCACACAAGATGGTACAGTACACATTTTGAAGCTTCCATAGGAGTCCAACTCCTCACACAATAGTTCATTGTGCAAACAGAAGGAAAAAAGGAAGATTCCGTATATATTCCAATCATACTGTAATAAGATACCCGAGTTACTGAGGAAACGAATTAATTATAAGTAACGAATTACTTTGTATTTAGTTATTTACAAAACCCATTGTTAAACATTGTATTTGCACTACTTTTAGTGCAATGCACAGAGACATTTGAGTTAAAAATGAAATCCAGACCCAATATTTAGCTACATGACACTGAATAATGTGGCAACAAAAGGTGCAGGGTTGTTTCACCTCTCCTGAAGCTAATGGCATTTCTATGGTGGAGCAACAGGCATTTTCTGAGGTTTGTATGGAGAAGGAAAAAAGTATTACCTTATGACAGCCACCTCAAGGTTTTTTGTGATGCAGCTCACAAACATCACATTGCAAATACCACATGCAGTTATCATATGCAGATATTAGCAAAGGCAGTAATAGGGGATTCCTTTCTGATGACTGATATAGCTAAGGCACTGAATTATGAAGCTAAAAGTCTTGGGTCAGAATCTCACTAACTAAGATTCTAGCCTATATTAACTCATTGGGGGTGGGGTCTTAAGTAAACTACATTCTATCATCCTTATCCCATCATTTGTCATTTGTGGTATAACAATAATTAATCTTATATGGTTATTGTCAATATTTGCCTGGTTAGATAGTGACTGTGAGGCACTTTGAACACTGAAAAATGCTATCCAAAATCATTATTATTTTGTTACTTATTTAGCTATTTAGTTGTTACTGTCCATGGTCCTGATATATGGTGTGAGAAAGGGGTGGCTTCATAGGAAGATACGGTACCTTCATTATATCTCCTTCTCCTGATCTTAAAATGCTGCTGCTACTCCATAGTATTATGTGGTGTTAGAAGATAGCTTTATAGATACCATGGACATCTAGAAAGCCATTCAAAATTTCATTTTGGAGGAGAGCTTTACAGATACCATGGGCTTCTAGAAATTAAAATAGGAGAATTCTATGGACAATCAAGCCTGAACTCTTGTGTGTAGTAAATGAAACTGAATGAACAAACTGAAGCTATTGTGCTTGAGATAAATCGCGAGAAGAGGACTCACTGAAGAAGAGAGGTAAGACCATAATGGTAGGAAATATTGAAGCAGTATAAAAGAGGAAGACCAAATGTGATGGATTGCTCCCACAAAGGCTTTAGTTTGAAAGACATGAAACTAGGTAATAATGAGAAGACAATATGAGAAATGAATTCTCATTCATCAGAATTCTCTACACATCAGAAGTGCCTAGATAACATATAACCTGTGTCCCCATACCATTTATTTATCTCACTGTCTCCTTTATCCTACTTGCGTGGGGCTGAATGTTTTCTTTTTAGCAGAAGATAGAGACAAATAAGTGCTGTGAGTTATGACTTCTCTCTGTTTCTCCATCCTCTTCTTCCAGGAGACCTACTGCTTCCTTGTGTTTCTTCTGTTCTGAGCAAACCTGAAACAACACTTTCTTTTATTTTTAACCTTTCATACAAGTTAAAGTATGCTTTGAGCCTCAGCTCTCTTGACCTTCTCTTTAGGAATATTGGCTACTTATTTATACTCTTTCCTGGTAATCTGTTCATCTTTCCACTTTTCTACATTCCCATTTTAAATCTTAGCTCATCTGAAAGCTCTTTATGCAGCCATCCATAGACCTCTCACTCTTTTCTTCGTCATAGGAATTTTCTGTAATTGTGCCTTCAATATCTCACTTTCATGAAAATCCCATCTTTCATGTATGCTAATATCTTTGAGTGTTTCTGATTATAGGAACTCGCTTGGTATTTCCTTAATCAAATGGAGATTAGGTTTCTTAAAGTCCAGAGTGTGTGTTAGATTACTTTCACTTTTCACTTTCCTCACTGTAACAAGTCCCAAAAGGCATTGGTCACTTTTACTCAAAGCTCCCATTGTTTCCATCTCACTAGCCAGTTATTCCCTGATAGTAAGGACTAGAACCAGAACAGCTCACTCCCTTGTTGCTTCTTCTACATTCTGGAAAATGATGATGTCAGCAAGACAAGTGAGGAATTTATTTGCCCTTACTCTTTTGGCAGAATTGAACTTTCAACAGATATCAGACACCCCATTACTTCCATGTCTCTGCTTTTTTAATGTTTGGTAATGTGATCTAAGAAGACATCATTCAGATCTTCAGGCTGGTTGCTTCCCTTTTTTCCTTTAGTTTATTTCCTTTGAACAAATCGTACCCTTCAATCACTACATTGCAGTCATGGGTCTCATTTTCCCAGTTTCTATTATATTTCTGCCTTCTTGTTTCAACAGTTCAAACTCATCTTGTTTTTTCCTTATTCTCTATGCCTTGTCATAGAAATGTGTGAAATAATGGGTTATTTCTTCCATCTATTTCCTTATTGCCTTTTCCCATTCATTGGTGGATTTCTGTCCCAATGTCCCAGTTTCTGATGCATCAGCAACATTCTTTTCCATAGTACATGGTGCCTCAGTGTTTCCTGAAAGAACATCTCCCTCTCCTGCAGGGTTCCATTTAAAGCCCTTCCAAACAGGTTTGCAAAATTCCTTGCAAATAAATTCTTCTAAGAAAAATGTAAGGAACAACCTACCATTTGCTAAGAGTCCTTTTTCATGGAATTGCAGATCATGATCCAAAAAGCCAAACACTCCTTATGTATTTGGGCAAATGGTTGTTGATGTCCAATATTCTTGTCTGTGTTCTTGGCAGGAACAACCTTTAGCAGGAAGCAATGATGGAAAAACTATTTGCACCTTAAGATCCTTCCTGCCCAAAAACCTCATAGTCACTTACAATATGTTGAAAACTTTGTCCAGAAAAGCTTTTTTACCTTCTCTTTCAGCAGGGCACATGGCACATGGTGCAAGTATAGGTTTCTACATTTTAAGGCAAGAAGACAAACATGCCACAAGTCTTGCAGGTCACAAGAAAAAAACCCTTTCAACATGCATCTCTCATGTCTTATGCATCTGCTGAAAAACACTGTCCTTGAACTCTCACTAACTACAGTACTCATGTTCCTAGTTAGTCCCTCAAAGAGCTCCGCCCTATGAGATTGCAGGGATAAATCTGACAGCTGGCAGCCCGCCAGTCAACCAAACCAATGAAGCATTTCCTTCTCAGCACTGGCTTTCTCTCAGCTCTAGTTCCTCTGCCTCACATCATCTACATGGAGTAGAGAACACATCTGGAATCAAACAAAAATCCCACAAAGGTGCAAACAAACCTCTAAACAACTGAACCAAACCATCAGCCTCAAGCCAACAAACACAGACTCACATCCTCTTGTCTCTTCCACCAATCCATGCAAGATATCCTTAGTTACTCAACCTGTTCATGAGCTCCTGCTCATAAGCTCGTTGGGACTGTGAATAGCTAGTGCAGTTACTATCTGAGTGCAGTGAATCTTGATACACCTGATGCATCAGCATCATTCTTTTCTCTAGAGAGCAAGTGGGCACAGGCAAGGACTCCAAAAGCAGTAAGCTTTGACACAGTCCGTTAAAAGAACAATAGGTGGAGAAAAAGAAGAATGGCCCTACAGAAGTTATCTGACTTTTTGGGTCTAGGAGAAGAACAGCTTCTATCTCTACCTCTGGTTAACGCACAGAAGTATGATGAAAAGTACCGTATTTTTCGCACCATAAGACACAGGTTTTTTCCCACAAAACAGGGGGGTGGAAAGTCTGTGCGTCTTATGGAGCGAAGAAAACAGATTATATTTTCCTGTTTTGTTCTCCTAAAAAATTGGTAGTTAACGCACAGAAGTATGACGAAAAGTAAGTTGTCAGTTAAAGGCATTGATATAATTAACTGTCCTTCCTGTGCTATGTTTTCCTCATTTGAATATTGGTGCTAATTATTCTGATGGGGTTTTTAGGGGTATGCAAATATCATCCAAGCTAATTTGTATCCAAATATTTGTTGTACAATTTGGGGCTGGTTTATCCTCAACTGGTTTGGAGGTGGCCTGAACTGATTTGTTCTAAGATTTCTTCAGATACGTTTATGTTTCTGGATCAGAGGAAAAATATAGATGGGAAAACTAAAGGGCTATGGCCGGGGATGAAGGGTGCTATATAGAGCCACCAGCTTTGGAAATGTGGTGGACCCTCAGTGCATAATTGGAGTTACTACCAGCTTCCTTCTTTCTGCTTTTCCTCCCAGGAGCTGGGAGTGTTGGAGAAGTGGAATATATATCCCCTTGACCAGTAGTCTGGCTTGCCTATGTAGGTCTGAATGAGGCCCTGCACATTGGAGCTTTAGGTATAAATCTGCTCTGTAATGTTCTTCTTTTATGGAAAGAAGCACCAAGGAGTTTTATTCAAATTTCAGCACTGTAGAGTCACCAAATGCTGGCGCAAACATCAGTGATTTGTAGGGGTTTGCAAATCTATCTAAGCTTGACTAGAGGCCTCTAAAGCCACCTTATATCCGATCTGAAAATGCTCTGCCTCATTTTTTTGGTACTTTCCTCTGCAGCCAGTGCATATGCCAAGCTTATACACAGTGTTAAATTATAACTGTTATATTGTTATGTACATGAGAAGAAATAAATCCCTTACTTTTTTAAAAAAATAAAGTATAGTACAACTCCCATATCTGCAGAATTGGTATCTGTTGTTTCAATTACTGTAGGCACTGCTGTTGCAACCCAGCCTGCAGTGCGCGCCTACGCTTATCTTCTTCTCTCACCCTTCCTCCCTTCTCTCATACTCTTTCATGGTTTCACTAATTTCTGGAATTTCAGGCATCCACTGGGGGGCTTGAAACCTATCACCGACAAATATGGGGATCTTCTTGTAGTTTCATGATTCTTGCTTCATTTAGCTATTGAAATTCTTTCTTTTCTCAGTACCTGAATGTGTTTACCTGCAATGAGAATTGCTTCGTGAATGTATAAAGTGATCTTCTGATAGACGGATTTTATAGAAACAGTGATGCACTTTGTCCAAAACTGATGTGGCAGATGAAATACAGCATCAAACTCTATCTTAAAATGAGTGATTTACCAAAGGACTATTCCCCCCACCCCCATTCTATATGTGATATTATAGGTTCACCAAATGAAGATCAGCTTCTTTATCAATGGTCTGGAAGATGACAACACAGCTTTTGATTCCAGAATTCTCACTGGGTTAATTGCAGACCCCTCTGTTGATGGTGAATGGCGAATTGGGCAGAATTTAAATGGTGAGTCAGAATATGATGAGAAAATATGTGAGCAAAGACATAACATGACAAATGTAATTGTTCAGAACTATGCTATTTAACCAGTACGTCCTACTGGTTCTTGCTTCTTCATAATAGTGCAGTTGGGAAATTGCAAACTTTTCAGAGATGCAGAATCCTATGCTGCCAAGTTGATTACACAGTAGATGCTACTTGTCAGAGCATCTTTTCCATAAGAACATCTGCTCACACCACCTGATCCTCACAGGCCATGCTCTTGCTGGTTGCCACACTGAGAGAGGTCAGGAAGACATCCACTAGAAACCAGGAGCTGAGGCTCCTTTCCTGTGGAATGAGTTTCCAAATGAGCTGTGCCTGGCCTCTGCCTCCCAGCCTTTAAGAGGATCCTCGAAACGAGGTTGTTCACTGAAACTTTTGAAGGAAACATCTCCTAATGTTTTTATGGTCTTGCTATATTGATGTCTTCTGTCTAGTCATCATCTGGTCTGCTTGATTCTGAGTAGTGATTTGAATTAATTTTTGATTTAGTTAATCCAGTTCTATGTGAATAGTAGTTTCTTTTTATATTATCTTATATTGTCTTTACTTTTGGTATAAACAGCCCAGCACTAACTGGGCGGTACACATGTCTATGAAGTAAGTAAGTAAGTAAGTAAGTAAGTAAGTAAGTAAGTAAGTAAGTAAGTAAGTAAGTAAGTAAGTAAGTAAGTAAGTAAGTAAGTAAGTGAGCGAGCGAGCGAGCGAGCGAGCGAGCGAGCGAGTGAGTGAGTGAGTGTTTCTCACTACATAGAGCTTGTCTCAGAGTAGGAACAATCCACTTGGACATGCTGTTTAGGGTAATAGGTTATAAGATTTGGGATTCAGGAAGGAGATTCCACTTCCAACTCGCACCAAAAACGATGGACTTGCTCATTATTTTCCTCTCTTCTGCTCCTTTAAAAAAGTATTGTATAGTATTATAGCACTGTACTACAGTACAGAAGATAATGTGGGGGCAGAAGAGGACATTGATAAACTTCTATCTTCTTGATTGCTGGTGATAAAATAAGAGCATGTTTCTTGCACTTTGAAATCCTCCTTTTCTCATGTTAAGTCACTTTGTACTCCAAACTCAGTGGGATACTATCACTGGGTTCCAGGACCCAAGCACAAGTCCTGGCATCTATGATGCTACCTATAGCTTAGACATTCAAAGTCTATACCAACGTTGCTAAACCTGGTGGCTTCCACATGCTATGGAACATTGACTCAGTTTTTTCCTTGAATCTGAGTCTATGAAACAAGCTGTCATAGTTCTACATAATATGCTCAGTTTGCACAGTTTACACAAATTGTGTCCTTTTTCCAAGTGTGCAGATTCTAAGAGTGGGCTCTGGTGGTGACTGATAATCATGTTGGGGAAGACTGGTCTTTTTCTTTTTTCTTTTTACCATTACTTTCAAAGTGTCAAATGTGTAGAGGTTTCAAATTTCTCTTCAATATGATCTCTACAGATTCCTTTAGCAACTGAAAAGAGTTAAGAACACAACAGCGAAGCAAAATGTTTCGTTTAGCAAAGAAGGGAAAGAAGGCATTATTATCAGAAAAATACCAATGTACTGCAATAGACTTGGCTGAATATTTGGTGATGCAATGATACAATAATTGTTCACCATGTTCAGAACATTGCCATCAATATAAAGTTCCAGCAATTTTGCAGCTTCTTGAAATTCTGTTTGGTGATAAATTGGTTCTGCAGATTTGTTAAGGCTGAGTATCAGTGATCCAGAACATACTGCAATTTGAGCTAAGTCCTAAATATATCTGCATCTGGCTTGGAGAAAGTTTGATTTATTCCAAAGGAACCACTGAGCTCCTATACATTAACACGTGAAAATTCTCATTGCACAATGCTTCTGGTTGACATTGTCATTTTGAATACCAGATGCACAATAATTGTGTAAAAGGAGAAGAAACCTTAGAAACATACCTTTCATCTTTATCATATAAAGTGACAGCTACAGTTGTTCCTACTGTATCTCTTCTCTAATTAGAGGTGGCACATGGACTGGCTCATTACTTCTGTCTAATGAGCCAGTCTCTGTGCCACCTCTGTAATCAGATAAGGGATAGGTACAAAATGTTCCTATAAAGTTATTATAAATCATTTTAATCAAAAAGATTAAGTCACTGCCCTCCATAGTTTTGTCCAGAACCAAGATGGTTTCATTCAGAAGAGGTAATTGTGCAAGAGAGATCTCTGTGTGTTGAATTTAAGAACCCCTCAAGCAGCACAGAGCTGTTTTCTGGTTGACAGAATTGAATTATTTATTTATAATGTATTTCCACAGGTTCAGAGCAATTTGTTGGAAGGATGCAAGATTTCAGATTGTACCAAACGACACTTACAAACAGGTAGGGATTTTTTGTTAACATTTTTGGGAAACTGTCAGCATGCTAAATTTTGTGAGCGAGTTTGGAACTGTGCTTGATGTGTGCTGATTCAAATAAGGTTTCTGTAATTAGTAGCTTGGATATTTACTGATAAAGTCCAGGATGTTTTGCTAAGAGAGGCTCCCCAAAAAAACAGGCCACCACTGACTGGCATATTGTCAGTGCACTGTGCGATCTCTCTAGGATATAAAAGAACCTCCATTCTGTCCAGCAGAGAGCCTGTAAAAACCATATGAAGCCTTTACAGGGGATGGGAAGTCCATTTGTGCCTTCCTGTTCCCCCTACTTGGTCAAAAGTACTTTATTTACCAAATGGAAAATGGATAGGAGTGCATAGGGTTGTAAAGGATACTCCCCATATGCTTCTGATTTGCAAAAGTCCATGCAACCAGATGTCATCGTTCTACATAATATGCTCAGTTTGCTCAGTTTACATAAATTGTGTCATATTTTCCAAGTGTGCAAATTCTAAGAGTTCTTACTAGGAATGATGGAAAACATCTTGCCATATTGGAGGCAATGATGAAAATCTGCGACTTCCTCCTTCTTCTGTCTCCAAATAAGACAATTGAAGATTTACATTTCTAGGGTAATGCGGACAGGCACTGACCCTTCCCCTATTTCTCAAACTGAGGACATGATAAAAGGCCATAAGAGACCCTGCAGGAGCTCCTTTTTTCTAATTATGATCGCGCTGTGGATTGAATCAAGGTGCAGTTGTTCCAATGCAATGCATAAACTCAGAGTACATATGTGGTGTAAGGGGGGGAAACCCAGTTCAGTGGAATTATTGTTCTTGCTTCAATGTTAGCCTAAGAACTATTGCAACAACTTAGGGAGTGACTCTTAACTCTTTTCTGCCCATAATAGCCTTCCTGTTTATAATTTAATACAGGGTGTCAGAAGAGAAAAAAAATCAGGTTCAAGAGTTAGTGGCTTATGTGGTTTGCAGTACAAGGATTTTCTATCCTTCTCTGATTTAGGCTACTGAAACTAAAGCTTGGAGAGATATTCATAACTGTGATTTCATGTGGAAGGACTGCACACTCATTTCTGATACTAGAAACAATTTCTTTGTCTGAATAAAGTGGTGCCCTCTTTATTCTGGCAGGTAGATATCTACCTGAAGCCACTATTTTCCACCTGATTCTAACTGGAGGACCCTACATTTTGAGCCGAAAGCATACTAGACTATAGAATACAGTGGTGTCTTACAAGACGAAAGTAATTCATTCTGCGAGAAGCACTGTCTTGTATTTTGAGCCGAAAGCATATTAGACTATAGAATACAGTCTCACAAGACTAAAGTAATTCACTCTGCGAAAAGCACTGTCTTGTGAAATTTTCATCTTGCGAAAAGCGGTTTCCCATAGGAATGCATTGCAATGCATTCCTATGGGAAACCTCGCAAGACGAATGGATTATTTTCATCTTGCGAGGCATCGGTTTTGCAGGGAAAAAAAATCATATTGCGAAGCATGGCCATAGAGAACCCATCTTTCGAGTCACCAACACGATCACAAAAACCATTTGTCTTGCTGGTTTTTCATCCGGTGAGGCATTTGTCTTGTGAGGCACCACTGTACCAAACTTTGGCTTAAGACATCAGGTCCTTTTTAAAGCATTACTAAATATGATTTAACATGAAGTGTTCAGTGCTCTCTCTGCTTTTTTCTACTATGGCTGCGATGCATTTGGGGCCTTCCATGTTCATTTTAGCTAGCTGGATAGTTTAAGGAGTTTGGTATCTGGCTGTAGAGCCAGAAGTTGGGAATTTGACTCCCCACTGTGCCTCCTGCAAAGTAGAACCAGCCTATGTGTCCTTGGGCAACTTGCACTGTCACTGGATGGGCCTAGAAGATGTGAGCCATTTCTGAGTATTCTTTATCTGGAAAACCCTTAAAAAGGTGACCATAAGTCAGAATTGGCTTGACAACACATGATTATTATTATGTTCATTTTTAAATTACTCAAAAGTTCCTCATCACATCCAGATTCTGGGAACTCAAGACAGATTAAACTAGGGTATCTTTAAACAGGTCAAAACAAAATTTTAAAGAGGACCGTGTAGCCAATCTTTTTATATCTGGGTATTTTCACACAATGCTTGCTGCTCCTTTTGTGGTGTGCCCAACTGATTTCTTCCTTCTATTACTCTAGAGACATTTTCGAAATACAATCTGGAAAATTCCCTCAACTCCATACTCAGTCTGAATGTCGCTGTCCAGGGAGCCATCCAAGGGTACACCCTTTGGTACAGAGGTACTGCATCCCTAACGGCGCTGACGACACAACAAATGACAGAGTCCTTAGATTAAGCCCTGAGGCTCACCCCTTGAACTACATCAATGATAATGATATTGGAACTTCATGGATTTCATCTGTATTTTACACCATTGAACAACTCAATCACGGAGTCACCATTACAATAGACCTAGAAAATGGACAGTACCAGGTAAATAAAACAGTCCTCGGTAAATTCAAATATACTTTTTGATGGCTGATCAATGGAAAGAAATTACCTCTTTTTTTTCATTTCCTGCTTCATCTCAAAAACAAGGAAATTTCAAATACGTCAGACTTGATTGTCAATTATATTCCAGCTTAATAATTTACGATATCACCTGGTCGCTTTGTGGTGAGTACCAGGAGGCACACAGATCCTTTTTCCTTCCACCTCCCCTTATATATAACATTGCAGTAGTGGTTTCCAAACATTTCACTTGCAAGAAACCTTTCAACATCATTTGCCTGATGCAGAAAGTAATAAAGTATATCTGTGATTTAAATTTGCACAAGGCACTGCCCACCTAATGCAAAAACACAGTTTTCATGTAATGTTTCTGAAGTGCAATCATTTTTGTACCCAACTTCTATCTCCGTCTAAGATCAACAGTTATAGAAGACGAGGTCTTCCAAATTACTTCATATTTTCCTGTTGATCCGTAGGTATTTTACATTATACTCCAGTTCTTCAGCCCACAACCTGAAGCGATACAGATACAAAGGAAAAAGCAACATGACCTCGATTGGGAAGACTGGCAATATTTTGCAAGAGACTGCAGCGTATTTGGAATGGAGAATAATGGGTTGCTAGAATATCCAGACTCAGTCAACTGTCTCCAGCTTCCTAGGTAGGAACAAACACTAACCTGCCAAATACTAGATGACTCCTAGTCATCCATAATGAACTGAGTTACCAACTGCAGTTTAGAATATCCAGAGTTTTGAATGTGAGGCCAGTAGTACTTCTCAGGCCACTAGAGTTGGAACTAGACACAGTCAGATTTGTTTTTGGGAGCAAAAGAGTGTGATACCTGTAGCCATAACATATAATCAAATAATTCTTGGATGACATTGGAAAAAGAGTCCCTGTTGTATGATCAAAGCATGGCTTGCCACCCTTGACCAAAGAGAATGAATTTCAAATCCTACCTTGAGCACAAATGGACTTTTGGAACAGTCACCACCATTAATCCCCTCCTTCTGTTGGGGACAGCAGAATATTAATAGCAAGTGCCTCATAGAGGATCTGGAAAGATGAATGAGGTTGTATAACGCTTTGTAAATCAATTTATCTATTACAAAAAATACTGTATAAATTATTATGAAAAGTAAATGGCTACTACAAAAAGCACTTTACAAATTATTATAAAGAGTCTTGAACTGAATTCCAACAGCTCAGTATAAGGACCTCTGTAAGTTTTAAAGGTGGAAGTATAAAAATTACTTTTGACCAAACTTCGGGAGGCAGTGGAATGCCTCTATAGGTTTTAAAGGTGAAAGTATAAAAATTACTTTTGACCAAACTCCGGGAGGCAGTGGAAGACAGGAGGGCCTGGCGTGTTCTGGTCCATGGGGTCACGAAGAGTTGGACATGACTGAATGATTAAAAATACCATGTTTTCCCCAAAATAAGACGGGGTCTTATATTAGTTTTTGCTCCAAAAACACATTAGGGTTTATTCTTGTCTTCTGGTAGCTGCACAACGATGGAGGGCGGGATTTCACTTAACTAGGGCTTTTTTTGTGTGGTAGGGCTTATATTACGAGCATCTTGAAAAATCATACTAGGGCTTATTTTCAGGGAAACAGCGTAGGCAGAAGAAGCATATTGCAGCTATGTTTACTCATCTACACATACACTAGGCAGGAAGAAGAGTGATTGGGATGGTGAAAAACTTGGATGGTCAACATTTCCATTGCTTCGATGCCTCAGCTTTTCTTATACATTAAGATGTATTATCTTAGAAGAGACTTCCAAAGCTATAAGTTCTCCACCAGATAGGAGACATATAGCTGTGTTTCCTGCCCCAGAGTTTTCCATCTTTACTACAGCCCTGTTTTGCATAATGCAAGCTATATTTTTTAAAAAGTCTGTTTTGAGCCATAACTGCCTGATTGCACCAAGCTTTGGCAGTACTCAGAATACAGTCAACATCAAAAGTATGTAGCACTTGTCTCAAAAAGCCATCAGGGAATATTTCACCAGGTACAATATGTGTTTGCTTTCCTGGTGTGTGCTTGTGTGAGTGTTTTTCTTCCCTGTTTCAGTCCTGGCAGCCAGGCTTTTAAAGTGTCAGCATCTTTCTCAGGGTCTTTCACAATTCAACATTCTGTGGGAGGAACGAGAGGTCACTGAGGGTGCATTTGTTTTCAGCAAAACATATTGTTTACCATTCAATGGGAGTGGAGGGAAGTAAGGAATGGCCAAATTGATTGGCTGAGCCAAAAGGTCATATTTTGGTAACTATTCAGGATGACTTTTCTAAAACATTAAAAATAGACGCCAATGCAAAAATTAGTGCATCTTTTAAAAAGGAATTCGGGAGCTAATGTGTAATATACTGCCATAAATGTTTTATAATGGAACATTGTTTTCTCTTCAATTACATGACATAAATGATAATAGGAAGTGATTCAAGTGAACAATGTTGTGTAGGAAAAATGTACAGTAAACCTAATTTAAAAATACCCTCTAAAGACTTATGTATATTCATTGTACCACAGGAAACATTAAGTGGGAGAGAGCATAAAAATACTCTATTGGACTTTCAAAGAAGAAATTAAGAGACCATATTACTTGTTCTCTGAAAGATCTAAATCAAACAGAAGTTTTAGGAAATGCATTGTATCGAATACATATTGTGTAAAGATACCTGATTTTTCTGAATAACAACTGCCTTGATTTGTGAATGCAACAGTGATGGATAGCAGTGCATCACTCTCTGGATGATCACAGGAGGCCAACGAAAAGGAGAGTGGACTTAAAGCAGAAGATTTTGTCAAACAGGATGGAGATACGTTAGGGTGGTTTCTATCCACTCTTCACTTCCTGTCAAAGCAAAGGACTTATTCCTTTTGTGCATTTTTTCTGCCCTCTAATTCATTCTTTTATACAGACCTGTACTGGTGAATTTTGTTTATGAAGATCAAATGACTTACCTAGTTTAATTGAAAGAATGTTGTTTTTCTAGAAAGAACTCAAAGAGTCACAAGGGAAATAATCATAAATAATGTGGACTTTCATAATCCTATTAGGGTGGCCCTTGTACTTTGATCTCCTGAGATGTGATTGTATCCAGCCTGTCTCACCGTTATATCTAACTCTTAGTACCTACTAGAGCAGATCACTGAATGAATGGGACCCAGAGCCATTACTAGCCATCCATTTTGGAATTTATGATATGCAAATAATATCAGAAGGAATTACAGCATTGAACATCTTGCCAGCATCTTCTTTTCTCCACAGGGGATCAGCAGCACTGTCACAGCTACAAAAACAAGTCAGAAATGTGTTTAAGATACAGATACCTATGCAGATAAAGATGTATTGTTTGCTGTACTGTCCATCCCAGCTATTAGTTACTGCAGTTCTGTACATCCCAGAGACCTGCTGTACAAAGAACTTTCCAACAGGGGAGGCCTGGTCTACCCACAATCTGGTTAGACCAGCTCTCCAGCTGGATGCTGCCTCCTATCCTAATTTCAGACAACAGGCTGATCTACCAAGCCATGGGTAGACCTGTCCACTACTATCTCAGGGTTCTAGCATGTTGATGACTTTTTGTCTGCTAGAGCTCCAGACAATTAACAATCCTTCATAAATCAAATTGCTACTTTCAGATTTGTAATCCACTGCAGATTACACAATTTTAAAATGATGGCCAAAACACAAAAGTAGAACTCTGTCACATCTTGTTTGTTTGTTTGTTTGTTTATTTATTTATTTATTTAAGAGAATTCATAAATCAAATTGCTACTTTCAGATTTGTAATCCACTGCAGATTACACAATTTTAAAATGATGGCCGAAACACAAAAGTAGAACTCGGTCACATCTTGTTTGTCTGTTTGTTTGTTTATTTATTTAAGAGAATATTATAGCAGTATCTGTGGATTTAATACAGTGGTAGATGAGGAAATTGCTTGACGATTAGTAAATGATGACTGAATGGGCTTTTTTGCTTAACGATGATCAAAAACAGCTGATCGTCATGTTTCAAAATGGCCACCCACTGGGCAAAATGGCTCCCCACTGTGCTTTAGGATGGATTGCTCACATTACAGGTATCAGAAAATGGCCACCCTATGGAGGATTTTCGCTGGACGCTGAGGTATTTCACCCATTGCAACGCATTGAACCGGTTTTCAATGCATTTCAATGGGCTTTTTCATTTTGCTTGATGAGGATTTCGCTTAACAGCAATTTGAATGGAATGAATTATCCTTGTCAAGCGAGGCACCACTGTAATTGCCTGATAAATTTCATATTTGTGTAATTCTATAATATAAGATGTTCCAGGCATTCCTGTGAAACAGATACCTCATGTTGTGGTTTTTTGTTTTTTGTTTTTGGTCAATTTCTCTTGATAGCATTACTCCATATTCCCGTGGAAACATTACTTTCAGCGTTCTTACTCCAGAACCAAATCGTCGTCCAGGATACAATGATTTCTACAACACGCCATCACTTCAAGAGTTTGTCAAAGTCTCAGAAATAAAAATTCAGCTACTTGGCCAGTATCATACTACTGCGCCTTCAGTTGACTTTAGACATAGATACTACGGAATTGATGAAATTACTGTCAGTGGGAGGTAGGCTACTTATTGTTCTTATTAAAGTTAAAGTATGCTAGGAAGTGAATTATTTATTGTGGCTGCTCCAAAATGATCTTGCCCCGTATCAAGTAAATATCTCATGCGTTTCTAGAAAAAACAATAATTGTTGAGCACCATTTTATGTGTCAATAATGCTTTCCTATTTTGGATTTGCTAACTCTGATGGACAGGTATACATGATTGAAAGCCTGATTGAAGCTTTGCTCTAGCGGCACTCTACTTTTTATTTAGGACTTCCATATATGGCAAAGGTAATGGTCTTAATAATAAATGAAACTCTTTGTCTTAGCTAGTTTTTCCATTTTAAAACGAGGCTTCTGTCATCAAAAGTGTTGCATTATCTATGACTGACAACTTTATTGTATATCTTAAGTCAGAAGTCTTGTTGAAGACATAATTATACCCTGTAAATAAAATGCAAATTAAGTAATGACTGAGTCTCCAGTGAAAGATGTGCTATTATTATTTTTTTAACTTTGAAATTTATGTTTAAAAATAATATGTATTAAGTCACATTTTCTTAGCGAGCAGAATGATTTTGTGATTATTAATGGCTCCAGTATGTCATGTTGTTTTTCATTAATATTATATCTTAACTATTTGTCCATGGTCTGGAGTTCTAAGGGTGAAAGGATAGTAAATCTTTTGAATAGTTAGATTAAATAAGCATTTTTCCTATATATTCTTAAAGCATAAGAATATATTATATGATGTATAGTCTACTTTTTCTAAGTAACGTTGTTGAAATCTGTCTCAATAATGTTTTAATCTGCAGATTTGTAAATTTTTTTAAATTGTTTTTAAACTTGATTTTAAAAATCTTGATATATGTTTAGTTGTTTTTTAAAACATGATATTCATATAGTGTTTTTAAAATCTGTTGTTTTATCTGTTGTTAGCCACCTGATTCCCCCACAGGGAGAAAGGTGGCATACAAATAAATAAATAAATAAATAAATAAATAAATAAATAAATAAATAAATAAATAAATAAATAAATAAATAAATATGAATGTTTAGAAAAATAAAAGTAACACTGTAGTCTCAACAAGTGACTAAAATTGTTACACCACTGAAACTAGAAAAAGGGGATTATTCTTAAGAACACAAAACAAAACCCTAGTTGAAGCTAAGCTAAAATCCTTTAATTCTGATGGAACTTCAGTATGTTTCTGGGTAAGAACCATGTGGAACTGTCCTAGAAGAACATATTGGTCTCGGGTTTTTTTTGACTGAGAACAAGCTGAACACTCTGTGTGTGTGTGTGTGTGTGTGTGTGTCTCTCTCTCTCTCTCTGTGTGTGTGTGTGTGTGTGTGTGTGTGTGTGTGTGTGTGTGTGTGTGTGAGAGAGAGAGAGAGAGAGAGAGAGAGAGAGAGAGAGAGTGATATTTAGGTTTATTTGGATTCTATGTTTCCAGTGAGGTAACCAACTCAGTCTGACCATTTTGAGTGCTTGTACCTTGTGCTGGGGATTCTGTTGATATATGACTTACCGTGCTGATTGCTGCCCAGCATTCTCCCTTCTGAACCCAGGGAAGATAGTCTTGTAGATGATGCTGAGAACTGGTGGTCTTCGGAAGAAAAGATTAAAGACCACAGTTCAGTCATTTGGTCCAGTCTTTCACCTTGCTCTCATCTTCCTCAACTACTTTCAAAATAATTTAAGAAATGGGAGCACTTAAATGGGAGCAGGGGTTCTACCTGACATCTAGCATTTCTGCTTGTGAGTGTCTCGGTTACAATCTGTGCAAGGATAGGCTGCACAGGAAAGAACATCCCGTAAAATTCTGTATTTTTCAGAATTTCATTCTGAAAGGTCTTCTTGATTTTGACAGTTTCTTGTTTGGAAACGCTGGTTAAAGCATTCCTGTTCTATTAACGTCTTGGGTGCACTGCTAAGCTGGTTTTTGTATTAAATTGATAACTGCTTAGAATGTTCCTGCCTTCTTTGTTAGTTTTATGTGGTGCTTTCTGTTATTTTAGATGCATCCACCTAGTTGTTACATGTTTTTTGGGGGACTCTTGAGAAGGCAAAGTGATATGAAAGATAGCGAAATAAATAAATGAAGAGTACTAATAATGCCTTGAAGGAGTTCTGCCACTGTGGATGGAAGGCCTAATGTTGAAAACACAGGCGTTAACTGTAATTAATAATTAGGGCCTTATATCTGCTTAGTGTGTAATGAAAGCACATAATGCACATTTGATCACTTAATGGTTGGTCTGCAACATGTACTGTCAATTTATGCCCTCAGAAAGCACCACTTACTTGACATTTATAAATGCTGAGTTGAGAGAGACACGAAATGGTTACTACTTAAAAGCCCCCCCCCTCTCTCTTTTTTTTTTGGAGATAGTTATCCTTAACAGAAGCAGATAATTACTTTCATGACAGTGTAAAAATAACAAGATAATGCCCTCTCAAAGGATATATCAATGCTGCTTTCTCAATAGCTTTCTTTTCTTTTCTTTTTTACAGGTGTAATTGTTTTGGCCATGCTGATCACTGTGATACAAGTACTAATCCATATAAATGTCTTTGCTCTAAGGAAAGCTACACTGAAGGCAATAATGTGAGTTTCTTTAAAACGGAATTAAGAGTTCTCATATTTGAATACAGTACATGAATTTTCCAAGTTTTATTGGGTTTGCAACAAAAATCTATTTATAGCAGTGTTGGCCTGAAATGCAGGGGTCCATGTGATGAAAACATTTACAATCTATGCATAGACCTCTGTTTCAGCAGTGTTTCAAGGCAAGTGCAAGTTGCCAAAAAATGTCCACCATGGTGGTTGCCATTTTAAGGCAAGTAGTGGACACCACATTTACAGACCATCTTCAAATGTTGGGACACTAGTTGCCAAGAAAACAGAGGGTTGGAGAGTCTGTTGAAAAGAACACACCCCGTGCTCCTTTGCCCATCCAACCCAAAATAAT